ATGTTTGTAATGCTCGATGTTGCGGGAATGCCAAGTCTTCTGCAGGTATTGAGAGATGGTGGCATGCATACTTACGTACATACATACATACATACATACATACATACATACATACGTACATACATACATTACATACATTACATACATGCATACATACATACATACATACATACATACTTACATTACCTTACATTTACATTACATTACCATTACCAGTACATTTCCATTACATTACATTACACTACATTACCATTACATTACCATTGCATTACCATTACATTACCATTACATTTCATTTCACTTCATTTCATTTTCATTTCATTTTCATTTCATTTCATTTCATTTCATTTCATTTCATCTCGTTTCATTTCTTTACATTACATTTACATTACATTACATTGCATTGCATTGCATTGCATTGCGTTGCGTTGCGTTGCGTTGCGTTGCATTGCATTACATTACATTACATTACATTACATTACATTACATTACATTACATTACATTACATTACATTACATACATTACATACATTCCATACACTCCATGCATTCCATGCATTACATGCATTACGTACATACGTACATACACACAGCATACATACAGACATACATCCATACATGCATGCATGCATGCATGCATACATACATACATACATACATATTTATATGTATATACGCAGACATATTTACATGTTGGCCAGCTTTTCTGCTTATCTTCCTCTACATAACCGACAACCTAAGTGCTTTGAAGAAGAGCCAAGGAGCCACCGGAGCGAAGTACAGGAGATCCAACAGTCGCTTCAGGACGGCAACCCGGCTTCCAGTGGTTTCTGGAGGGCTGTAGAGGTTACTGTGCCCGAAACCCTAATTAAATACCTCCTATGGACCACCCTCGCCTGCATTGCCCGAGTTGCGAGAGTCATACCCGAAACCCTTCTTTGTTGTAAAGTCATTGCTGCTTTGTAGTTGGACACAGAGACCTCGTCTGGCGGAGTCCGAGTTGCGAGAGTGTAAATGCCATGATGCGTGTTTGTCCTAGCTAGGTGGGAGGCAAAAAACAGGTTTGGGGCTTGTAGGGCTTCGGGTTGGTTCCAATAAGGCGGTGGGTGACAGTGGGTGACTGCTTTCAGGAGCTTTGGGGGGGTTCCGGGCTTAGGGCTTGAGTCGCAAGTTTTAAGGCCTTGGGGTTCAGGTTTAGTCGCAACAGGAAGGCGTTTACCAATGATATGAAGTGCCCTCGAACAAAGCAACAAAGCAACTGGCTGACAGGGTGGAGGCTGTAGCGTCGTGGGAGAGTTTAGAGAGAGAGGCTTTGTACACAGGGTTTGAGTTGCTCATACATACTTGTGACTCCCTGACCTGACATGTTCACGGATGCTGTTCTGCATCATGGACCCAAGCCGTCCGGAACTGCAATGTTGGGCAACTCCCAGTGCTTTCACTGACCGTGCAGGAGTCCTTCGAACAGAAACTTCAGACCAAGTTCGCTGAGGCTGGAGGTTTTGGGGTCCTGTAGCTTGCACTTCTGGGCGAGGCATTCATGGTATCCTGAGTTTCGGGCTCAGGCTTCATGGTTGAGGCCGGCTGAGGATTTGTGATGGAGCTCTTCTGCACAGCTCTGATGGCAGCAGGTGCAGCGTCGCATGGATGAGTGCACCATGCAGAAGGACTCTATTGCCCTACGTGCCGGTCAAGAGCGTGCAGCACTGATACCAAATACAGCTTGTTTGCTGGAGATTTGCGGAAGTACTTACTTACTTGTACAGTTCAGAACATGTCCTCTCAGGTGGGGGTTTGTGAGCTTCCTGGCAGGACAGCCATCAGGACATTGAGAATCGACTCAACGACTTTGAGGCGATGTTGGACACTACGCTGGAGGGCCACTCGAAAGGCTGAGTGGCTCGGGTGTGTTCCAGGGACGTGTGTGTGTGTGCGCGCGTGTGTGTGTGTGTGTGCGGGAACCATGGGATTGAGATTGAGGTGTCCAGCATTTCAAGCTTTGGCCGTTAAGGTGTTTCAGAGATGAGGGGCCATGGGGGAACCCTTCCAACGACAACGGGATCATGGGTAGTCTTCAGGCAAGTGCGTGTTAGGTACGTGGCAAAAAAGCGTTGGTAGTATGTTGATAATTGTTTGTGCACCTGCCTGTGCAAGGCAATTATCAAGACGTTCGGGCACAGACCTAGACAAGCAGGAAGAAAACATGAGTCACCAACCCATGAGGAATCCAGGATCCTTCCAAGCAGCTCTCAAAACCACACCTGAAAGGCCTGGAGCGGAAGCTGTCGGACATGGAGTCCAGATTTCAGGTGCCGTGGGAGAGGATGCTTACAGTATGACAGGCACAGCCGAACAGCATAATGTGCTGAGAGATTGCAATTGATGTGGTCTTTGGCAATGTACGCGACAAGTAGCTGACACAGGTAGCTGCACGTAGGATAGAGTAGTGCCGTCGGTATGGGCCACTGCTTTCACCCTCTGCTCCAGGATCTTGAGAATAGCGACAAGCTGCTCAAGGTCAGTTTGAACCAGGACATGATGGTAGCTGGCTCTTCTATTCATGCTGCTTAAGATATGCTAGCCGCGTAATTGATCAAAGTCCGGGTGGAGTTCACGTGCGGAATGCTGCATATGCTGAGTGCAGGAGATCGCAGCACGGCATTCCATGGTGGAGGCCGGCCTGCAGCAGGCAGAATCCGTAGTGCTTTCAACGGGGGTTTCAGCCCTTGGTCAGGTGTTGGACCAGATGCTGAAAACGGAGACCTCCAGAATCGCGACTTCAGTACGTGGCCCAGATCAGGCTGTACGGACTGGCCGATATCACATGCAAAGATTCATGGCTTAATCGTACAGAGCATCCGACATGCCCGAGATGTGAGAGTTCGACATGCCTCCCACTCCTTTGCTGCAGAATCCTTGATGGATCCCGCTCCCCAAGGTCAGCGAGCAGGTGGCGGTGAGCCACCTGGACTGGAAGGAGAGCCAGAAAGCAATGCTGGAGCACTTGAGCAAGGAGCCGACACTGTCCGTCCTTTCAGGCCGTCGCCTTCGAATCCCATTTATGGCTCCAGCACGGCACAGCCAAGTTTATGGGTAGTTCGCAGCTTCTCGAAGCCAGGAGACCACGGACAGGCAAGAGCAAGCCAGGGCAATCAATGCAGACTTGCAGAGCTTGGCAGGCGGTGTGGGCCCCAGATATCGACCTGCAGTGACCTGTTCTCGGTGGGTTCTTTAATGGCGCAAGATGGTGCAAGCTCCGAACCTGCCGAAGAAGGGAAGGAATAGTTTTCTAGAGTCGGAGGATCAACTGTTTTGACTGCTGTCCTTGTATCCAGGCCTGCTGTATCGTAGAAATTTCAGTTGGTGCCCACCCACGTTCACCCGAGCCACCAGGTCTGGGTGAGCGTGTCAGCCGTGTTGAGGGCGCCTGGCACAGTGTCCGCCAGGCAGTGCTTTTGGGATGCAGGGCTTGCGGTGGCTTTAACATCCTTGCCGCTTGAAGGGCTCATGGTCTGCCAAGCTGTCCACGCTCATGCTTCTGAGGGCCTCATGGGAGGCAGCTGTACAGTGCGATTCGGAGTAGGCGAGGCCCGACCCAAACTGTGTTACTCGTTACTCGGACGTCTGATACTTGGTTTGGTGGCCTTCACCCTAAACCCTAAGCCCTAAAGTGGACCGGCGACTTCAGGACTGGCGTGAGGCAAAAGGCAATGTCCGAGCCCTGCAGGGGCAATTGCAGGACAGACCGGTCTGTCTTCCCCTGTGGCTGCACACACAGTGCTGTGCCTCTTCTGCCGGTTGGGGCTTAAAGTTTAAAGCCGGACCGGTCCTTGATGGCCTGTCCGAGCATCCATTCTAGGTAGTCCGGATCGGAGCCTCCAGCACAACAATCCAAGAACTACTGATCAGAAGAACTCCTCCCACAACTGAAAATAAATACTAATACTACTGTGCTCGAGGAACCTGTAGGTGTGTGTGTGTGTGTGGGTTAATGGTCTTAGCATTTTACGGTGGTGTGTGTTCTGGTGGCGGCGTTACATGTGTGCCTGCCTTCAGATAGTGTACGAGCCGAAGACTATGCAGAAACTTTTCAGCTAGGCGATGCCAACAACCACAAACCCAGCTCTACATCTACTCTACTTACGCCTATTCAATTCGTCATACTCACGGTAGTAGCCCCAGGCGTGAGGCAAGAATTCCTAAATTGTGTGCGAGTAAGCCCGGGTACGGAGGAGATGCTCTGAAACAGTTGAGCAAGGTCTCAGCCTTGTGTCTGATGTAGTGGTAGTGACTGGGGGGTACTTTGCATGTATTGGGTGGTGTATAGTCTTAGATTGGTTCTGGTTGTTTGCTGTGCAGACTCTAGCAGTGTGTGAGCTTGGTTGTGTGGAGCCTTGCCTGCCTTGCGCGAGTGTGAGAGCCGAAATCCCAAAGCCTAGAGACCTGGGGGTGCTTAGAAATTAATTTTTAATTTTAGGTTGCTATAATGCCTAATTGACAGCTAGAAGTCTAGAAGTACTAGTTTTGCTAGGGTCCCACGTTCACTATAGAAGGAGCTCGAAGCCAGCCTGGACACTGGGCTCCAGGTGACCCGGCATCCCTTTTTGCTTTGTGGATGGAGGGCGCTTCGGATAGGGTTTTGCAAGGGTCCTATGTGGTTTTGTTCAGAAGGATTTCATAAGGGTTCTGCAAGGGTTTTATAAGATTCTCATGAGGGCTTCAGAAGTGTTCAGGGGCCATCTGAGCTCTCAGTTCACGGTTCCGAGGTTTGCCAAATGGTGAGGAGCTTCGAAGATTCAGGGGGAGTCTATTGTAGCATCATAGCAGATGATAAAAATATTATGTAGCTCTAGAGTATAGGCCGATAGACTTCGTATATTAGAGCATATGCGAGTATCTTATTGTATTTTGTTTTTGTAAGTGCCGTATAGTGCTGAATCATACAATATATCAGATCATGAAGAAGCCGCGGGTCTCTCAGTCAGACTTCTAGCGAGGATGATCATGGCATTGCTGATTGTCATGGGGGTTCTAAGAATTCCTGACCTGATTCCCTAAACCTTGAACCTTAAACCCTTAGCGGGCTTCGTCCTAGCTAGGTGGGAGGCAAAAAATAAAGATACTCTAAACCCTAAACCCTTCGATCCCAAAACCACGGCTGGCCCAGGGCCTTCGCTCAGAGATGCAGAGTTGCTTGCGCGAGGACCTCCGCAGCAAAAAAATCCGGCAGCCTTGCTATTGCTGGGAAGTCGGACCGGATGCTACTGGAACGGCTGCTAGGACTACTGCGGCTGCTATGCTTCTGCGACTGCTACGATTACTACGACAACGACTACTACTGCTACGTGGTAGTTGTAGTGGTAGTGGTGGTAGTAGTAGAAGAAGAAGTAGT